CCGGGCATGGTGGCTCACATTTGTAAATACCAGCACTTTCGGAGGCCAAGGTGGGAGGATCACTTGAGGCCAGGAGTTCAAGACCAGTCTGGCCAACATAGCAAAACCCCATCTCTATTTTTTAACAACCACAACAACAAATTTAACAAAGTCAATACGTAAAAATCAAGTATGTCTATGCCAGCTTAAAAAAAAAAAAAAAAAAAGAATAGCAAATAAATTACAAAATGCGATAAAAATAGTATCTAGAAATAAACCCAACACATGAAGATTTACATATTTTTAAAAGCTAATACTGAGAAGTTACAGAAGTCAATAAATTGAAAGATATACCATGTTCATAGATTTTAAAACAATATTGTAAACATCTTAATTCTCCTCAAACTGATCCTTAAATCCAGTGCACTCCAAGCAAAACCCCAGTAATGTTATTTTATGAGTACTGAAAAGCTAATCCTAAAATACACACAAAAAAGCAAAGGGTCAGAATAGTAAACATAATCTTAAAGAAGATCAAAGTGCTAGAGGAATTTTACTACTAGATATCAAGAACTATTATAAAGCTAAAATAGTAAGAGTGTGATACTGGTGCACGTATAGGCAAATCATCCAATGGAAGAGAATAGAGAAACAGAGCTATACACATATAATCACATAATTTATTAAGCAGACAACATACTCCATAAGGATTACTCTGGCTGCTAAAAGAAAACTTAACCCTGTTTGAGAGAGGGTAACATCATCCAGAATCTCCAGAATTTTTCATTACAGCATCTGGCATCCAGTCGAAAACTACAAGGCACAAGGCAATCTATAAAACAGAAGCAGGTCGGGCGTGGTGGCGCACACCTGTAATCCCAGCACTTTGGGAGGCCAAGACAGGCGGATCACGAGGGCAGGAGTTCAAGACCAGCCAGACCAATATGGTGAAACCCCGTCTCTCTTAAAAATACAAAAATTAGCCAGTATTGTGGTGTGCACCTATAGTCCCAGCCACTCAGGAGGCTGAGGCAGAACAATCACTTGAATCTAGGAGGCGGAAGTTGCAGTGAGCAGAGATCGTGCCACTGCACTCCAGTCTTGGCAATAGAGCAAGACTCCACCTCAAAAAAAAAAAAACAAACCAGAAACACAGAAGTAGCTTGCAAGAAACCAAGAGAAAAAATAAAAGCAGACCTTCATTTGACTGACATATTGCATTTATAAAATATAACAGACTTTATGATTAATACATTCATGAAAATAGAAGAAAAGTTGCAGATGTCAAGAGAAACTTGGAATCCATTTTAAAATTTCAAAACATAAATTGTATTTATTTTACAATTTTCCTGCTGATAAATCTAAAAGAATTATAAGCAGAAAAAGGACAAAATGACACAATCCAATTTGCATTCTTAAAGACTACTCTGGGCCAGGTGCAGCAGCTTACACCTGTAATCCCAGCACTTTGGGAGGCTGAGGGGGTCAGATGACCTGAGGTCAGGAGTTCAAGACCAGCCTGGCCAACATGGTGAAACCTCATCTCTACAACAAATACAAAAATTAGCTGGGCATGGTGGCACACGTCTGTAATCCCAGCTACTTGGGAGGTTGAGGCAGGAGAACTGCTTGAACTCAGAAGGCAAAGACTACAGTGAGCCAAGATCACATCATTGCACTCCACCCTGGACAACAGCAAAACTCCACCTCAAAAAAAAAAAAGAGTACTCTGGAAAATAGGCAGAAGAGGAACAAAAGTGGAACTGCCAAGACCAGCCAGGAATTACTGCCTCTTTTGTAACAAATAACTGGGTCAGGCACAGTAGCTGACACCTGTAATCCTAGCACTTTGGAGGGCTAAGGAGGGCAGATCGCCTGAGGTCAGGAGTTTGAGTCCTGCCTGGTCAACAATGGTGAAATCCCATCTCTACTAAAAATACAAATATTAGCTGGGCATGGTGGTGGCGGTCACCTGTAATCCCAGCTACTCAGGAGGCTGAGGCAGTAAAACTGCTTGAAACTGGGAAAAAGAAAAGAAAAAACTGCTAACTGGGAAAACGGCAGTGAAGATCACAGGAAACAGCCAATTCACGGAATTCCTAGTTTTCAGATAAAATATTCTTCTAATTCTCTTACGTCTTTTTATTTCATATTATAAATTAAAGGTAACAGTTCATTGAGAGGGTGGTTATAAATATGGATAAAGCTAAACCAATTTATCCTTTGACTCAGTAATCCATCTCTAGGACTCCACCTTAAGTTACTTCACAAATGAGAAACAACATATGCATAAAGTGATTTACTGAGGCATTATTTGTACTATCAAGAGACTGAAAAACACCAAATGCCCATCAATAAGATACCAGCAAAATATCTGATGACACAGACACACAATAAAGTACTATGCAACCACAAAGTATGATTAAGAATACCTCTATGAACCAGAGTAACTCTCAGGTTTATCATTTAATGAGATGAAAATAAGGCAAAATATGCTACACTTTGTATAAGAAGGCAGTATGGAACGGATATAAAGTGAACACATATAAGGTTTTTTTGTTTGTTTGTTTGTTTGTTTTGAGACTGAATCTCTCGCTCCGTCGCCCAGGCTGGAGTGCAGTAGCACTACCTCAGCTCATCGCAACCTCTGCCTCCCAGGTTCAAGAGATTCTCCTGCCTCAGCCTCCCAGTAGCTGGGATTATAGGCGGGTGCCACCACGTCCAGCTAATTTTTGTATTTATAGTAGAGACGAGGTTTCACCATGTTGGACAGGCTGGTCTCAAACTCCTGACCTCGTGATCCACCTACCTCAGCCTCCCAAAGTGCTACGATTACAAGCATGAGCCACAGCGCCCAGCCACATGTAATTACTTTTAAAGAAGGAACAGAGGAAGGACTGATCAAAAGTGAATGAAAACCGTTATCTAGCCCAGGTGCGGTGGCTCACGTCTGTAATCCCAGCACTTCGGGAAGCTGAGGTGGGCAGATCACTTAAGGTCAGATGTTTGAAACCAGCCTGGCGAACATGGTGAAACCCATCTCTACTAAAAATATTTTAAAAATTAGAAGGGCATGGTGGCAGGTGCCTGTACTCCAGGTACTTGAAAGGCTGAGGCAGGAGAACTGCTTGAACCTGGGAGGCGGAGGTTGCAGTGAGCCAAGACTGCACCACTGCACTCCAGCCTGGGCAACAAGAGCAAAACTCCATCTCAAAAAAAAAAGTTATCTATAGGTAGGTGTAGGAACTTTCCTCTTAGTTCATTACAAATAAATGATAGTTTCTTCAAAGGTTAATTTGCTTTAAAGTTCTTGCTAATAATCTTATGGTAGCAGTTAGTTATAGTAAAGAAATAAGTGCATCCTGGATTCTTTGTTCTTACACTTTAGGCTAAATATTTGCCTTGACATACCTAGGCAAGCCCAGGCAAATCTCAGGTCATAGCTTATTCCCCTTCCTTATTTGGAAATGCTATCACTGTTCTAAGCATTCCTCAAGTTACTCTTTTTCTTTGTTCTCCTCTGCCTTTACTTCTTTAGAAAATTTCCAAGTTTTTAGCCAATCGGGTCAAGCATAGAATGTGAGGTCCCGTTCAATGGAAACTGGACACAGCAGTAGGGTGATTGTGTCAGGTTATGTAAATGCTCCTGTCTCCTTGTTCAGGTGAGCTCTCGTGGCAAGACTGCCAGCGAGTTGCACCCTTTCTGCAGGAAGTAAACTAGCCTTGCTGAGTGATCCATTGTCTCGGTGTGGATTTTTCCCCATGTTATAAACACGTTGACAACAGTAGGTAAGAGAGGGAATGAGAATGAATCAGAATTACCTCAGTAGGGATAACTTTGGATATAGTTGTGATTTTGAATCACATAAATGTTTTCATGTATTTATAAAATGCAATTAAGTGGAAAAAATTAAAAAGCAAATATTAAGATTCAATACAAACTGTAAGGTCTTTTAGGCTGACTGATTGCGCCATGGACACCATGGTAACCTCTGTGAACTGGAGGGACACTCCAGGTAAGTTCCTGGAACTAGAAAGTCTGAAGTAACTGGACAACCATGAAAAAGGGAAGTGTGGGCACCTAATTAACTTGAAACATTCCTCTATTGTTCCTTATTCCTGCCTCAACTGATAAGGCAATTGTACCTACAACCCCTTCCCCAGCTTGCAAAAACCACCCTAAACTGTAACTTTGTAACTTTCCACCGCCTACCCCAAACCTATAAACCAACTCCCATCCCACTGCCCTCTTCCCACTGCCCTCTGCTGACTCTCTTTCCAGACTCAGCCTGCCGGCACCAGGTGAAAAAACAACCATATTGCTCACACAAAGCCTGTTTGGTGGGGGTCTCTTCATTCAGAGCATCTGTTTAACACAAATAAAAATCCAAGCTATAACTTCAAAGAAAAAAAATAATTCAAGTAACTTTTGAGATCAGTACCCTAACTGTACACCCCAAAAGCATTAACTATACAAAAGTCAATGGAACGGCAAAGAAATGTTGAACTTTACTTGATAGATTTGCTATCGGCAGTGGTATTAATGTAGTAATTCTGAAGCTATTTTGTATATATTTTAGGACAGAGTAAATGAATAAATACAGAGGTTGAAAACGAGGGTTCTCACTATTAAAGGAAATACTCAAATATAGACTGGGGAAAGTTTAAGAAGAATCTTGTGGTAATGGATTTGAATTCAAAGTATCAGGGTATATATACAGGCAGGGTCCATTGAACCCAGTTTTACATTTTTAGTTTCTTTCTTGAGTAGTTCTACTATTTGCAAGGATTAATATTTCATGACTTTTATCCTCTCTTAGAGGCCTTTCAAGGATTTTTTTTTTTAATTCCTATTAAGAAAAAAAAACCTCATTTTATTTTGCAATTACCATATAGGTACAGTGTCTTTGTAAGTCAAAGATACACTACAGGATCCTAGTGATTACAGTTTTCCTGCATCTTGCCATTTCATCATCATCTTAGTAATTATTTTATGATCAACTATTCCTATGTTTAAAAAAAAAAAAAAAAAAACCCAAAAACTAAATAGTAAGAAAATGAGAAAACAAAAGAATTCTGTAATCACCTAGAAGGATGACGCAATCAACAGTAAAATATCATCCTTCTGTTTTCTCACTGCATTGTCTAGGGTATCGCATCATCTTTCAAGAAAGTACAAATGATAGCAGACGCCATCTTTGTAGTCTGCCTTTAGCTTTCAATAAACACAGTTGAGAATTCAGGTTTTTTATTTTCTGCCTATAATGGAAAGAGGAAAAAAGTGATGGAAAGGTACTTCACTATTATTAAACAAGTCCGATTATGAATATAAAGAGTTAGTAGCACTCTTAACCAATGAAGTCCAGTATCTTTTTTTTTGATGATGAGAATCTTCATCAGCACAGACCGATACAAGCCAATAGCCAAATGTGACTAATGAGCACTTGAGATGTGCCTATCGTAACCAAAAATCTGAATTTTTATTATACTTAATTTTAATTAATTTGAATTTTAAATTTAAGTATAATGGCCACATGTGGTTAATGGCTACCACACTGGATAGCACAGAAAGACACTCATGATGATGGTGAAATGAGAGCATAAATTAAATCTCAGATTATGAGTCTTCAGATGACAATATCCTAGATGAATTTTCTCAAAAATCAACAATCAATGAATATACAGAAATTAGCTCAAAATGGATCGATGACCTAAATATAAAAGCTAAAATCATGAAATTCCTAGAAGGAAACATAGGTATAAATCTTCAAGACCTTGAATCTGGCAATGGATTCTTAGATATGACACCAAAAACACAAGCAACAAAATGTATAATCTTAACTGACTAGGGGTGTGAGTGAGGGGAGAATGGGAGAGTTACTGCTTAATGGGTAGAGAGTTTCTGTTTGGGGTGATGAAAAAGTTTTATAAAGAACAGTGATGGTTACATAATAGTGAAAATCATCAATGTCACTGAAAAGTATACACAAAAGAATTGTTAAATGGCAAATTTTATTAAATATAGTTTATCACAATAAGATTGCTAGAATAAAAGATCTCTAAATTCTATTTCCTCTTCTACACCTGTAAGTTTTTTAACTTCTTCAGGTCAGAGGCTAGGAGAAAAAAACCCTGAAGATACCAGAAATAGGTTCTGAAAGCAGGAATTCTGTAATGGCTTATCTCTTTAAGTCCTAGAAGAGACCATGACAATGGAGGAAGAAAACTACACACATCTGAACTTAGTGAATGTTAAACAAAGGCTGTCTGATTTCAATGAGGAAAACTAAAGAATCAATGAGTGAACACTACACTTGTAAGAACAAAAAGGAAATAGGATATTCCCATCCAGTCAGTCATTCAACAAGAAGGACTTCATCATGCAATAATCTGCAACAAGAACCTAGACAATCCCATTGTTCTGACATGTGGCAGTATTTTTAAATCGCTCATAATGTTTATGCATCAAGATTCGCTTCATATAAAGAGAACTGCTGTGTTGAAATTCTGATTAACCTTTCCAATAAAATTGTTTTTCACTATTCCTTATTTTTAGACCTGTAAATTATTTGCAAAATTTAGTTAAAAATATAAACAGTAAAAAGGATACACTGGACCTAGATGGTAAATGGTGATGACTACTTTTCCTGGTATACTGAAGGTTAATATATTTCCTTACTACTGTCCACCTGATGCAATAACACCTCAGCAGCAATCAGCACTCCTTGTGTCCATATCTTGGTTTCTAAGCGTTATTTATTTTATAAGACTCTTTGAAGAAATAGTCAACTTCAGCACTAAGGCAAAGAAAGTACAGACAAGCCTGGAACATCTTGTGCCAGAAAGCAACGTAATGATCAAATAATGAAAAAAAGAATGCATAGGCTGGGCACAGCGGCTCACACCTGTAATCCCAGCACTTTGGGTGGCCGAGGCTGGTGGATTACCTGAGATCATGAGTTCAAGACCAGCCTGACCAACATGGTAAAACCCTGTCTCTACTAAAAATAAAAAAAAATTAGCCAGGTGTGGTGGCAGGGAGCCTGAGGCTGGAGAATCGCTTGAACCCAGGAGGCAGAGGTTGCAGTGAGCCAAGATCATGCCACTGCACTCTAGCTTGGGCAACAAGAGTGAAACTCCGTCTCAAAAATACAAACAAAAACAATGCATGCAGGCCGGGCGCGGTGGCTCACGCCTGTAATCCTAGCACTTTGGGAGGCTGAGGCAGGCGGATCACGAGGTCAAGAGATCGAGACAATCCTGGCCATGGTGAAACCCCATCTCTATTAAAAAATACAAAAATTAGCCGGGCGTGGTGGCACGCACCTGTGGTCCCGGCTACTCGGGAGGCTGAGGAGGAAGAATTGCTTGAACCCGAGATGGAGGTTGCAGTGAGCTGAGATTGCGCCACTGCACTTCAGCCTGGCAACAGAGCAAGACTCTGTCTCAAAAAAAAAAAAAAAAAAAAAAAAGAATGCATGCTTAAGCCAGCTTGAAAGGGCTTCCATTGCTCAAATTTAGAACAATTTGAACATCAAAAGAAACAATGACAGAGATTATTATCACTCTCAATTTAAAACAAAAAAAAATGAATTTATTGTGAAACTAAAAAGGGGAGGGACCCACTAGAGTTCTCATTTGTTGGAAAACATCAACTAATAAACACATGGTTAGAAAATCACTGATTTGCAAACACCAATGGTATAACCAGTTTAGGCAAGGATCATCCAAGGCCTTTGAGGAATAGAACATTTACACTGTCTTCAAGTACTATACCATTTAAAAGTATTTTTATGATGGAGAGACTTGGCAGATGCCACCTTAAACAAGTGGTTAGCAACACTAATGGGACAAAAATGACATTATGTGTCTCCCGACATGATGCAATAAAGTCATCATCTATACGAGCGCGCATGCGCGCGCGCGCGTGTGTGTGTGTGTGTGTGTGTGTGTGTGTGTGTGTGTGTGTGTGTGTTTGGAGACAGGACCTTACCACTATGCTGTCCAGGCTGGATTCTACCTCTAGGGCTCAAGCAATCCTCCTGACTCAGCCTTTGAAGCTTTTGGAGTAACTGGGACTACAGGCTTGTACCACCCACCAGCTATCTATGTAGTATTCTTGCCAAAATTGTTTGTTTCTTCATTATTACATTCACTAGACATCTCCAAATTGTGAGACATTCTACAAGAAACCTGACCTAATGCTTCAGAAATGTCAATTTCATAAAGACAGAAGGTGGCGGGGAATAACTTTAGATGAAAGATTAAGGAGATAAGATAGCCAAAGGCTATGGTAATCTCTGGCTCTTGGATTGAAAAGAGTTATAAAGGCATTTTCACAAAAACTGAGAAAATGTGAATATGGTACATGTCAATGTTAATTTCCTTGGTAAGAAAAAAGATACTGTTCTATAGAAGAATGACCTTCATGTAAAATGATATGTGCTGCAGCATTACTGATGTGATGATGTCTGCAATTCGCTTCTGAATGGTTCTGCAGGGGGGGGAAGAAAAAAATATATAAAGAGAAAAGAAAATGGGACAAAACGTTAACTGATTCAAGTTTCATCACACTGTTCTTTCACCTTTCCTGTAGTTTTATAAGTTTTCAAATAAACAGTTGTAGTTTAAGGGGGAAAAGCTGCATATGAGAGACTAAAAAGATAGAGACATCAATCTGGTGATTAAGACAAGTGACAGAAGCTAAAAGGTTTTTAAACTCAAAATGAACACAACAGGTGGGAAAACGGAATCAAGCAGTTATGGCCAGCCAAATCACAGATTCCACACACCTCCTTCCTCCCTTTCCCTGGGACCATTCCCAATTTTTGTTCCAATCCAAGCCTGGATCTTTTCTTCCAATCTAGAGAAGCCTAACCCAATGAAAATGTGTTTTCTCCTTCTTGAAATATTGTTTTATGTTTATTAACAACTTTCAAAGGATGAAAACCAAGGGGGTCTCTTCTTATGGCACATTACTGGCACAATATTAAGTGCCAACAATAAGAAGTTGATCTAAAATAAAATAAAACTTACAAGTAATGAGTTCTGAAAACTTACCTACATACAAAATGAAATGTGCCTTTGGCTATACAAGCACACATATTCTTACAACTGTGCCTTTCTTAAAAAATAAGTAACTTCAACATTAGAAAGGACAAATATACTCTTTTCAATACATTACCTATAATTAATCAACTTAGAAAAAACATTTCTAAAATTCAACACCCACTCATAAAAACTCATAGCAAACCTGGAATATAAGATTTCCTTAATCTGATAAAAAGCAAATACGAAAACTACAGTAAATATCACACTTAATGGTAAATGTTTAAAAGTTGACCCGTGATGCCCACTACCACCATCTGAACTGGCCAATACCAAAGGCAAGAAAAAGAAACAGCATAGGGACTGGAAAGGATAAAATAAAGGCACTCTTGAGGAACCACAACTAAAAGTACACTATCAGGTATCATGATAACTTACAAAATCATAATGATTTAGACAGCGTAGGTTTGCTACAAGAATAGACAAGCCAAGAGCACAGTCAAGAAACTGATCAGTTACTCTCACAGTCACCTGATTTATGACAAAGATGACAATGCAGTGAAAACTTGACACTCTTTCCGATAAATGCTGATGGGGCAACTAGGTATCCATACAGTAAAAAATGAAACCTGACCTTCAATCCCCTCCTATATACAAAGCCAATTTCACTTTCTCAACGTGAAAGACAAAGCAATAAAGCTTCTATTACGCAATATAAGAGGGTATCTACGGAAGAATAGTAAGAAAGACCTCATAAAAACAGGACAGAAAACACTAACCATAAAGGAAACAAATTGTTAAAATTAAGAATGTCTGTTTGTCAAAGGACAGACACCATTATAAGTGCTCCAAGTCAAGCCACAGACTAAGGAAGAAACTTACAATAATTGGAAAGGCAGTCACTGCTATGAATCAATTAGAATATAACAACCCCATAGAAAATAGATAAAAGATAACCAGGTATTTCACACACACACACACACACACACACACACACACACACACAAAAAACCACAAAAATCCGAGTAGCCAATAAACATTTGAAAAGGTCATCAACCTCATTATTCATCACAAGAATGGCCAGCATATATGAAAAAACACATGGTGGTAAAGACTGAAGTAGGGAGAACTTCTGTCCACTGCTACCAAGGTCCACCTTAGAAAACGCATTTTAAGTGGAACTGAAGACACAAATGCTCCATGAGAAAGTTCTAGGCAAAAACTAGAAACCACCCAAACTGTGCATCTGAAAAATAAATGGCATTAATGAAAATTCTAAGATCGAATCTGTAAACATCAATCACAATGCGTGGCACACAAAGAATTGCTCCCTATAATGTAATTCCATCTGTCCATTTCTTCACATATGCATGACAAATTGATATAATTTAAGATCACCCTCAAAACACATTCCAATGGTTTTCCATCACACAAACATAAAAACCAAAACTTACGATGATCTGGTACTACTCTAATGCTGGCTAGAAAGCTCTTCTCCAAAATATCCTCCATATATCCACATAGCTCATTCCCCACTTATTTCAAGTTTCTGCTCAAATGGAACCTAACAGAGAAGCCCTCTCTGACGGCTTACAGAAGAAGCCATCCCTCCTCTCACATCCCACATTCTCTACAGGCCTCTTACCTTCCTGTTTTTTCTACTTAGCCTTACCTACCAAGCACCAATGGTATGGCTATGTAACCGCATGCCTTTACCCTGAGAGTGTAACCATAAAAGCAAGGACTTTCTGTATTTTGTTTATTACTGCACACTCAGCAGAACATGTCTGGCATATAGTAGATATTCATTAAATATTTGTTGCATAAATTCAATGGCATGGATTCTAGGCTTGGAAAGAATAGCTGTTACATGGCCTACGTGGCTGACAGTTCCTTAAACTATGTGCAGTTTAGTTTATCACAAGAAATATGAAAACCCTCCATTAAGTTAAATTAGCTGTTCTGCTTTATAAAAAATTTAAAATATTTACTCTTAATGAATTTAATTCCCCACGGCTCTGTATCAGGAAGTATAAGCTATTCCAAAATTCCAAGTGAGAATTACATGAGGCACTCAATAATAAATATATTATCCTAATGAATTTTCTAATCTTACTATTATCCTGCAAATAAGCCTATAAAAACAATACTGGATATACTACTTTTTAAAATATTACAATAAAATCTCAGTAGTTCTGCTAATAAAAGCTAATAGTATCTAGAGATAAAAAATACAAGTATCTCAGAAACATCACCTTAGCCAAGAAACCAAAATTTCAACATAATGCAATTCCTAAAACCAGATCTAGCAAGATCTTAGGAAGTACAAGTACAAGGAAATCTCCCTAAACAGCCCAAGACACTCCACACCAGTAGTCCTGGACCATACATTTTATTGCATAGGTCACAGTCTAGACAGGTTAAGCTTCCATTTTTCAAACAAATATTTTAGTGCTGTTAGTAAAAACAGATTTAGTTAAAAGGAAGGGGAAAAAAGGCGATGATCTGAATTTCTCTCCTCTCCCTGTATCTTGTAACAAATGAAGATTAAATAAAACCTTTGGGGGGGAGGGAAGGAGAGATGGTTGTTTGAATAAACTACATATATCAGCTCTGAAGTAACCAAGAAATAAACCTGCCTAACTGGTGTTCAAACTAGCCAAGAGCCATTTTTCAGGCTCAGAAAGTGTTCTGCAATTAAAATAACATTCAAATTTTTGTTAAAATTAAAAGTAAGTTTTATCAATAGCTTTTTTGAGGGAAAAAAAAAAGTCCCATCCAATTTTACAAACTTTTAAGTAAAATAATAAAATTGTGTATTTTAAAACAATGGTGTTTTCCTATATAAAATGTGTAAATATTTACATAAACATAACTGGAACCACGCTATACACACTGTCCTAGTTTTCAATCCCTACATAATGGCTCCTGATTTATTTAACAAATCCCCTAATGTTGGATTTTTTAGTTTTTCTATTAAGAACAAAGCCACCAGGAATGTTTCTTACATGTTTTTTGCTAGATCAAAACAGAAACAAACCAAAATTTTAACTAAAACAAATTGTTTTGGATATGCTTCATCACTGACTCTGTAAGTGAAAGCAATGTTAAAACTTGTGCTCCCAGCCACCGACTACAGATGCTGTCACTTAGAGGTCGTGTCTTGTTCAGGCCCCTTGTCTGTCCTCCTTCTCAAGTTGCCAATTTTTTTCCTTTTTATTCCATGTTCCAGAGACTATACAATAAAGAAAACAGGGTAAAACTTGTTACACTCCTTAGCTGAATTTGGAAAACACGCAAGAACAAAACTAATGAGCAACATTTAAGCCACATTACCTACCAGCCCCTCTCAATTAAGACTCCCAGAGAAGATTATGCTCTAAGCCTAAGGCACCCACAGTATGTAAGGAACTCATTTCTCTCTCTGCATCTAAAGCCAACTAGGGAGGTATCCTCCCAGGGGAAACTGAGAATAGGCATTCAAATCATTTTCTGCAGAATTTAACTCTGTCTCATGAAACCCAGGTAGGAAAGGCCAAGAGCTTAAAAGCATGTTTGATTCAACTTACATAAAGGAATACCAAGTGCCACACGTAAAGCTACTATGACATTTTCCCCTTCTACACTCAGGATGTCACAATGCTTCTCCTTTACTAGAACTCCCGGTACTCCCACAACTGGGCTGGCTTTAAAGCCTAAATAAGGTACTTCACAAAAAAAATTTCACTGCCTATTTACTGGGTAGTTTTCCTGTGCTACATCATAATTACAGTGCAGCCAACTAACCAGTTTATTTTGTGGCCTTGTGGGGTCTCCTGTCCACTGAAGCAGATGCTTCTATTAAAGATAGATTAAATACTGACACACTTTTTCCTGAACTGGGGATAATTTTACACACCCACGACAGATACACACGTGGCTATTTAGTGTGCCGAATTAACATTAAAACACAGAAAAATAATTTGATAGCACAATGTCTACAGGAAACATTCCGTTTCCCACAAGACTCTAACTGAAAAAGCAGTTACTCTCTTCCACTGTAACTCAATACGGTACCAGAAAGCTGTTCAGAGCACCCCAAAAAGTATCCTTTGCATTTCAGTCACACTAACATCAGAATAAAACTAAGGATATATTTTTAACATGCCAAATGGCAGAAAATATATCAAGTCAGCAGGAGGTGAAATTAACGAACTGCAGTAGATGAGAGGCAACAGAAACATCATCCTCTGAGGGTCTGTGTCACATTCTCTGAAAGAATAAAAAATACCAAGTTTTGCCCAAAGGAGTAAGACTTCATAAGGGGCTGTTTTATCTTTCTTCTTTTTCTATTTTTCTCTTAAAAAAAAAATGCATTAATGTCTTATAATTTAAAGATGCCAAACTAATTAACTTTTAATTTTAATTTTTTTTTTTTTTAAATGACAGGGTCTCACTCCGGCCCAAACTCCTAAGCTCAAGTGATCCTCCCTCCTGAGCCTCCCAAGTACATGAGACTACAGGTGTGCACCACCGTGCCTGGCTAATTTTTTGGGCTTTTTTCTTTTGTATATCCGGGTCTCCCTATGTTGCCCAGGCTGGTCTCGAACTCCTTAGCCTCAAGTGATTCGACGACCTTAACATTCCAAACAGCTGGAATTACAAGTGTGAGTCACCTCGCTGACCACTGGATTTTTAAACTCTCATTTTGAAAATAGGCTTCCAAACCCAACAGTTGCGTTATTAGAGAAAAGTGACTGAGAAATGAAAATCCAACCCACAAAATAAACCAACCAGAACAAAGTAAGAAAGATTCCCGCAGTTAGTTCATCCCAACAAGTGGTTTCCAAGCAAACGGGGGTTTTTTAAGTTCTATCAAAACCCTCATCTAGTTGAACTGTGCATATTTTTATACCTATGTAAACAGTCGTTCTTATACAGGAAATGTTCAATTAAAAAGTTAAGAATTTTTACCGTGCTTGTGATGTTGAAGCAACTTCCTAACCCTTTATAGCCCATGATGCTCTTCCATAAATGATGACATAAAGTATTTTAAGCAAATTAAATACTGCTTTTATAAGAATTTCAAGACACTTCAGCGGACAATCAATCTGAAAGACCACAGAATCCACAGAAAACTCGGATTTAACAATAAAACTGTTTCTTAAACTGGAAACACTTCTTTATGTAAAGTCCCACCAGGAAATACCAGACTCCGTACCCTCTTCAACAGTTTAAAATTCATTTATTACGCGATGAAATTAAAATGTGTAAAAATGAGCCAGGTCCGGTGACTCACGCCTGTAATCCCAACAGTTTGGGAGGCAGGGCGGGGAGGATCGCTTGAGGCCAGAAGTTTTAGATCAGCCTGGGCAACATAGTGAGAATGTCTCTATTTTGTTTAAATGACATTATATCGTGATAAATACTAAATAACCAAATATTGCACAGGAAGCATTAACATGACAAAGGTAGTAAAACTTTTCCGTGCAAACAAATAAGGAGCAAAACAGTATACATTTTAAGCAATGTTTAGGTCATTACAAGCTACAAAAATTAAGGTGAACGCTTCCGTTGACAGCGTGCTGCCCCCGCCCCCAAATTCCCACACGCTGTTGCACGCCTTCAGCTCTGAAGCCCCCTTTCCGGGGCAGGCGAATGGGCTCCACACCCCTCCCTCCGCTGCCAGGTCAAAGGGCTGCAGACAAAGACAACAGAAGCACGTGACAAAAGTTTCTCCCGGTTTCCTCCCGGAACCCGAGCGGTTGGGCCCAGGCCACGCGGGGCCGCGGCCCTGAGCACAGGCAGGGGCGGCCCGGCGGGCGGAGGCGGAAGCGGCGCGGGGCTGCCAGTTACCTTTTCCTGCTCCTCGCGCAGCCGCGCCACGTCCGGGGCGCGCAGCGGAACCGGGGCCGGGGCTGCGGCCGAGGCCGAGGCCGAGGGGGGCGCAGGGTCGGAGGGCGTCTCCACGGTGGGCGCCTCCATGACGGGCCCGCGGGCCTCAGCTAGGTGAGTGAGTCCTGAACCAGCGCCTGCGCAGGCGGCGCGGTCGGCGGCTGCCCAGCGCCCACGCGCCCGCCCTCAGGCACCGCGCGCCCCGCGCCCAAGAGGCCGCGCTCGCCGCCGCCGCCGCTGTTCGCGTCCGCGCCGCCCGCGGCCGCATCTCACACGTGCATACCGCCGCCGCCCCGCCGCAGGCTCCGAGTAGCAGGCCAACCACCAGCTGCCGAGACGCCTCTCCGGTGCGGGCCCTGCCAGACGTCCCGCGGCGGCCGCGCCTCCTCCGCGCCTCCCCACAGGCCCCGCCCCGCGCGGCACGCCGGAAGCTAGCGCGCAGGCCCCGCCCCCGACACGCCCATCCCGCGCAGGCCCCGCCCCCAGGAGGGTGCGCGTGGTGCGGACCTCGTGGCTGAGGATGGCAGTGCCCGGCGTTTGTAATCCTCCTCAAACTTACATTCCATGCCGATATTTCTTTCTTTTTTTTTTTTTTGAAATTACGTATATGAAAGCACTAAATATAGGCTTTGGAACCTTAAAAAAAAAAAAAAGCTTACATTCTAGAGAAGTTCCACGGCAGGAAGCTCTCGGCAACAAGAACGCGTGTCGCCTTGAGTGCCCCATCTCCTTCCCCTGTCGTTCGGTGCTGCATCTGTATCTAGGAGCTTAATTCATATACTAGAGCTGTTTCATAAGCACATTTAATTTTAGCAAATTTAACTCTTTTCTGTGCCTTTGTAGTGAACTGAAATATACAATTATATTTTGCATGTGCATTAATTACTGTACACATTGTATTTTCTGTAATATAAATTAAACTACTGTACTAATTTTAATATGCTGCTATGAATGGACTAAGAAATTTTTCAAGGATAACTTTCCCCCCACTTTTCCTCTTTTTTTTTTTCTTTTTTAAGAGACGGGTCTCTGTCACCCAGGCTGGAGTGCAGCAGTGCTATCATTTCTCACTGCAGCCTCGAACTCCTAGACTCAAGCGATCTTCTCATCTCAGCCTCAGGAGTAGCTGAGACCACCCGGCCCTCACCACCACACCCTGCTAATTTTTCTATCTTTTGTAGAGGCGGGTTCTCACTCTGTTGCCCAGGCTGGTCTTGGCATCAAGCGAGCCTCCTGTCTTGGCTTCCCTGAAATGCTAGGATTACAGGTGTGAGCCACCACGTCGGGCCGTTACAATTATTTAACAACTCATGGCCGGGCGCGGTGGCTCAAGCCTGTAATCCCAGCACTTTGGGAGGTCGAGGCGGGTGGATCACGAGGTCAAGAGATTGAGACCATCCTGGTCAACATGGTGAAACCCCATCTCTACTAAAAATACAAATAATTAGCTGGGCATGGTGGTGCGTGCCTGTAATCCCAGCTACTCAGGAGGCTGAGGCAGGAGAATTGCCTGAACCCAGGAGGCGGAGGTTGCGGTGAGCCGAGATCGCGCCATTGCACTCCAGCCTGGGTAACATGAGTGAAACTCCATCTCACAAAAAAAAAAAAAAAAAAAAAAAAAAAAAACAACTCATGTGCCCACCTCCTCCTATAGCCTCCTATTAACCTAACTGCATGGAAGTGGTGTTGCCCTATCTGCTTCGCTCGCTAGCAGTAAGGATGGGTCCAGTTCTTTCCACATTATACAGACAGGACTAGGCAAAGAGATGCCTGCAGAGTCCCAGCCTGGTGTGCTTGCTTGCTCTGCTTCTCTTCCCTCACTGCTGCCCAGCTCCCAAGTCCAGATCCACCCTTTTTTCCTTTTTATGGCTTCAAAGAAAGAAAGCAAGGACAACTTGGGAAAAGATAAATGTTCATTCCTGTCTTTTCCTCACTGCACATTCAACCATCATCGCCTCTGGAGCAGCCAGAACCTGACCATTCTTCCACCTCCTCTGGTACCACCATCATCTCTCCATCCCCTGCCACCTCACTTGCTCCTTGTAGGGGACACCAGCAGCAGCCCACCTCACTTCCCCTCATTCAAGGGCTCAACCCTAGACCACATAGTCCTGTGCCTGTGGGAAGCTGACCTACCCCTAGCTCCAGGCAAAGGGGAGTGATGCATCTTCTCTGTAAGTAGTTGATTCAAGAATGGATGTGTGATACTGTCCAAAACGAGATTTCCCAGAGGCTTCTGAGAAGGTTCTTTTTTTCTTTTTGCTCTGTCGTCCAGGCTGGAGTGCAATGGTGCCATCTTGGCTCACTGCAACCTCTGCCTCCTGGGTTCAAGCAATTCTCCTGCCTCAGCCTCCTGAGTAGCTGGGACTACAGGCGTGTGTCACCACTATACCCAGCTAATTTTTTTTTTTTTTTTGGTAGAAACAGGATTTCATAATGCTGGCCAGGCTGGTCTTGAACTCCTGGCCTAAAATGATCCACCTGCCTCAGCCTCCTAAAGTGCTGGGAGTACAGGCATGAGTCACCGAACCCAGCCTGAGAAGGCTCTTCCTTACTCTTCAGAAGTGCTCCCATAAGGAATCTCTCTATCCCTTTGGCCAGAAGTACAAAGCAGGTAGCTCTCTGTGTATCAGACAGCCCCCACCAGACCACCTAGACATTCCAAGACTCAAAATGAAATGTCTGCAGTCAGCATAGCTGAGACCAGAACCAGAGTCATTGACAACATCACAGAGCTCGATCCAGGGTTAAATAAACCAACCCTGAAGTCTACATCACTTCTGAACCTCCCATTTAAAAGGCCAGTAAATTTTCTGAATAACCAGGACAATTTTTTATCACGAGCAGCCAAAGACATTTGATTCACACACCTTTAAACTATTTTCCACTCAGCAGCCTGGGTGAGCTTTTAAAAGGGGATCAGGTCATGTCAGTCTCTCTTCTAGGACCCTCCATTGCTTCCCACAGCAACCAGAATCAAATCCAGACATCCTACTAGAATTTGGCATTGTCTGACCTGCCTTCCCCACCTCCAACCAAACCCCTACTACTCAGGCCAACCACAACAATTTCTCTCTTCCTTAGACACTCCAGACTAGTTCCTGCCTCAGGGCCTTTGCACCTGCTGATCTCTCTGCCTACAGTACTTCTGCCACATCTTTGCATGATTGCCTCCTTTCCATTGCTCAGGCCTCAGTTCAGATAATAACACGGCTTTCCTGATTTCCTGTCCATGAAAGCCCCTCCTCTCTCCTCTAGGCATCCACCCTCACCTCACCTTTTAAATTTTCTTTGTAGCACTTACCACATTTTAAAATGATCAGCTTTGACAGGACACGGTGGCTCATGCCTGTAATCCCAGAACTTTGGGAGGTGGAGGCGGGCGGATCACTTGAGGCCAAGAGTTTGAGACCAGCCTGGCCAACATGGTGAAACTCCATCTCCACTAAAAATAGAAAAATTATCCAGGAGTGGTGTCATACGCCTGTAATCCCAGATACTTGGGAGGCTGAGGCAAGAGAATCACTTGCACCCGGGAGGCAGAGGTTTCAGTGAGCCAAGGTTTTG